TAACTTTTTTTTGCTGTACTTGTATTCCTTATTTGGGCCACACATTTTTGTACGTTTTCTTGCGTACGCGACAATAAAACAATTTTTACGTTGAATGTTTTTTTACGGCTTGTGTGCACAGCCACAAGCGCACACAGGCGGGCAAAAAAATAAAACGAATAATGAGTTTATGTATTTTAAACTGACCTCATTATGAAGAAAAATTGTTTTTGCACATACACAGAGCATGGAAGGAACAAGTTGTTAACAATTGGAATTTTTGAAGAAGTTTCTTGCTGGCCTAAACCAGAAAGTCTGACACACGATATATGGAGTACAGTAATATTAATAGGTGTTCAAGGCGATAAGCAAACAAAACAATCAAACCAATCGCTGTAAGCAAACTGACTGATAAAGAGTAAAGAACGTAGCTTATCTCGACAACCGAGGCCCTTTATTTCGATAACTTCAATTCCGATCCGTTAAAAAAAAACATTCTTGTATCGATGTTTTATTTCCTTAACCCTTCGTCGGTGTGTCATATTTTAAGCAAAAGGCTCAATTAATCAAGTGGTTGTACATATCTTTTTTCTGCACAGTTCATAACTTACACACAATTTACGGTACAAGTCTTTTCCGCTTGTAGTTATATAAATAATTCTTATTTTCGGTTATTTATTTGTTCTTGCATCGGAAACGGTTGAAAAAAATGTCACGTAATATTTGTGAAGTGAGTTGAAAATGAGAAGGGTATTTTTATGATTATGGTTACTTGGATGGGGGAGTAATTATAATAAATTAAACTCATATAGCATAATTGTAGTAAATTATAGAGTTATAATGATATAGATTTTTATTAGAGATTTTATAACTTGTTTCAATACATTCCTTAGCTTCCATAATTCCCTTTAGAAAATTGCGCATTTGCGGTATTATCTTATACCTCTTAACTTTCGGCACTCTCTGTAATTTTAATTTAATTTAATTCTAAGCACGTCTGGAAAAAAAATATACCCAACAACTGTAATTACGTTTTTGCAAAATACGAAGAGAATAAGAAAAATTGGCAAGAACGAAGAGACGAGGAGAATTCTTTTGAAATCTTTTTTTTTTTTTTGAGAAGTTGCCACGAGTCGGATTCTTTCTTCCCCACCGCCCACAAAACACCCCCCGCCCCACGCGGCTACATCGTCATCTTCGCGGTTTTCTAAACGGTGATTTAGCCATTATGTTAACGGTAAAATGTGCAGAATCTCCTGGCCATGCGAAATGGAGTTTCTTTTCTTCTGCGATGGGGCCAAGAACCGGTTTTCAGGTAGGGGGCCTTTGGGCCTTTGTCGTCGTTTGCTTTGTGCAACTGATTCGCTTCTTTCGAGTGTGTCGGTGTTGCATAACCCGCGTATTAAGTTGCCTCGTTGTCATCGCCGTCGTCTTGGCCAAGTTATCTCGTCTCTGGGCTTCTGTTGTCGCATTGTTGGGCTGCTTTAGCCCGGTTCTAAGCTGGTTTTTGTAAGCCAAAGTGGCTAATTTGCCTGTTCTTTTTTTTATCTCTCCACACTCAATCACTTATTTCCGTTGACAATTGCGGAAATACAAATAAATATTGTGTTTACTCACAAAATTTACAAACTATAAATAAAAAAGTGGAAACCCAGGATGGAAAAGGAAGATAAGTGGAAACCAGCCAAGAAAAGGAACCTTTACCACTATCACAAATGCATTTTTTTCTTGTTTACATTCCTCTTTTTGTCCTTGTCTGCGCTGATAAAAATAAAGTCCAGTCCACAAACAGAAATCATTTCAATGCGTCGCGACGGCAATAAAGTAAACAAAATGAAATTGTTTTCCCTCGTCACATTTTCCTTCCTCTCGTCGCGTTGGCGACTTGTTGAAACTATTTCAAGCGCAGAAAGAAACTTAAGCCCCAGCTCATCAATAACATCGCATCCCGTGCTGCCAACAACTGTGGTGCTCAATTAACATGCTTTTGTGAAAATTTATTGAATCTCTTCTTTAATGAAGTGGCATATCCGAAGGCTGTTACTTCCCAACTTCCCGAGCTAAGCGTACCCATCAATGGGAAATGCTTTATGGCGTTTTAGTGACTGATAAGACCTAAGATATTCAAAGATCAAATATAGATCTTTTACATCGAAGAAATGTACTTTTTACTACAGTACTCAAAAGCATATTTTTGGAATCTTATAATTTAAAAGCAATATTAGATATGTACTTTTTATTAAAAAACTAAAAAACTTATTTGTTGAATTTTTTGTACTTTTTTTTTTAATATTAAAAAACATGTTTTTGAAATCTTATAATTTAAGACCAACATTTAAAAAGTACTTTTTATTAAAATACTAAAAAACATATTTTGGTATTTTATAATTTAAAAGCAACACTAGAAATGAACTTTTTATTAAAATACTCAAAAACATATTTTTGAAATCTTATATTTTAAAACCAACACTAGAAATGTGCTTTTTATTTAAGTACTCAAAGCATATTTTTGGAATCTTATAAATTAAACCCAATATTAGAAATGTACTTTTTTTGGAGTCTTATAACTTAAAAGCAATATTGGAAATGTACTTCTTATTAAAATACTCAAACACATATTTTTGGAATCTTATAACTTAAAACAAAGCAAAACCAAGTTGTATAAAATATTACATTTTAGGGTCTGAAATCTTAAAAATAAAATGGAAAATAATATAGATATTGATACTGATAATATTCCAGAATTTTTTCATTGCACTAATATATATATAATATATATTTTATATTTAAAATCTACTTTAATACACATACCTAATATATGGTATATATTCTTGGTATCTTAAAATTAAATAAAAATGAATTACTTTAGTTATATTAATTTTATTCTCAACAACCAGATCAAATTTTGTTGTGCAGTCCCATACTTCTTAACAATAACCAATTCAAGGATCCCGCTTCCTTGTTTTAATCAATCAAACGGCAAACAGACTGGAAGAAGTGATATCTGAAACGTTGTAGAGTGTGTTTGCGCTTGCAGTCGTCACTTGATGTATCTACTAGATACATGTGTATCTATGCATCTGCTAAGCTCGCACAAAGCAACAATTATAAACAATGACAAGAGCAGCAAAAGCAAAAGCAGCAGCAACAACAATGAAATGCATTATTATTATCAGCAAAAATACACGACAAAAGAATGGGGGATAGAGAGCGGTATAGGGATTTTGATGGAGATATATGTGCTCGTATAGGGAGAGAATAAGACGGGGAGATTATGCTTCTGGCGCTGGCTTTTGTGCCACGCGTACAGGAAATTATATAAACAAGTCTCTGGACTCCAGAGGGGCAAGGAGGGGCACGGGGCACGGGGGAAAAACAATGAGAAAAACGCAATGCAGTCGCCGTTGCTGCAGTTTTAGTACTGGTGTGTGTGTGTATGTACTTCGTATGGCAACAGAAAATGTTGTTGATGTTTAAAAAGCAAATACAATAAAGCATTCTCCTCATGCCACGAACACACTTGCATACATGCATACATTCATAAGTATTTCCCGGCCGAGAATGCTACGTACATACATGCGTATACGTGTGGAAAACTCTTTTGGGTGGTGGCTGACGAGTTGAGTATACGACACGTTGGCCAAGTGAAGAAAATGAACACAATAACAAATAAGCGAGTGGAGAGGCAAAATATGAAGAATGCAAATTTAATTTGCGCAGAATCTGGAGATTATACAGCTCATGAGCTTACGCCAGATAATGCTGTTTGTTTACAAGAAGCTTACGAAAAGAGTTCGCCAGAGGTAAAACTGATTTAATCAAAGGATTCGCTAGCTAGAAAATGTATCTATAAGAAGGTTAAGTGTTGTGTAATATATTTCTAAAACTTGGAAAAATATATTTGCTAGGAATTAAAAGAAACAGAAGGTTGTTTAGTTCTCATCTGGGTTAAATATATTATTTAAAATAGGAAGACATTTTTTAAGTTAAAAATATTTAAAATGTGCTTGAATAAAATTGTTCATCTCAACAACTAAGCTATTCGTCCAGTCAGTAGTGTATACTTATCCAAAAGTAGTTAAACAAACTCAATTTAACTTTTTCTTCTCATCATTTTGTTCTGATATTGAGAACATTGAACCCAAAATGTACTTAGAAAGAACGAATGTTCTTAATTCAAGAACACATTATTTGAATATTTCTCTCTGTAAAAGCTTTTTAATTTTCTTGATCGTGAAATAATATATCCCTTGATTGGACGTTGAAATTTGTTTACAAAATCATAACAAATTTATGGTTTATACCAAAAACATTTAACCAGTCAAAGATGGCATGAAATAGAATGATTAGGAAATTATTTCTTATATTATATGCAGTCAAATTATAACTAAAAAATATTTTTAAATTGATTTCCATGTTAACCCTTTTAATGATAATAAAAGTTCCAAGCAATGTAGTTGGCTGGCAGAAACCCTTGATGGTCTAGGCCCTCGCGGCTCTCACTTTGAATCATTTTTGAGATACATTTAGGTTTAACCCCTGCTTGCCGAAAAAAGCCTGGGGGAAAAGGGAGATAGGAGAACTTACACTTTGCCCTCGGCAACACAAAAGAGGCCTGAGTACCTCCCCCTTTTTTAGCCCCATTTTCCCTTCACCTTGCACAGACACACACTTGGCGCCTCTTTTTACTCATTTCGTCTTGGGTTTTGCTAGGGTTTTCCACTTTTTTTTGGGGTTTTCATCATCTGGCGAATGGTGATGAGGATGATGATGATGGAGAAAGGGGGCTCGGCTTGGCCCTAAGTGTTTCTTGTAACTTGAGTCTTCAAGTGGCCAGCTGGCATTTGCTTTTGCCAGTTTTTCTTGTTTTCTCGGGGTCTCTTTTCTCTGTGTGTTTCCTTCAAGTGCGCCAACTTATGCGTTTTGTTAAAAATAATACTGTGAAAATGTCTGAACAAAAGATATGTAAAAAAAAAAATGTTAATAAAATTTTCTTTTATTTCCCCTTCTCTCTTTTGCAGTGTTTCATTTACGTTTCGTACGCGATTTTTATGTGTAGACATCAAATAAACGCCAACAAAAAAGTATCTTCAAAAACATAAGCAGCACCAACAACAACAAGAGATACAACAACGAAGGGCACATCTAACGCTGCGGCTAACAGATGAGCCCCAACAACAGATGTCAATTGCTGCAGCCGAAAATGCAGGGTAAGTTTGGATGGGAAGCAGGGGATTTCGATTGGGAGTCCCAATCCCAAAAGGTTCGGCTTGGAGCCTTATGGCTAATGAGATAAATTGGTTGGAGCAATGACAATTGGGGCTGGCCAAATGAAAGTGTTCAAGTAACGAGCGTGACTCCAGCTTAAGTCAAAAATAATGAGAGATACTATTCCCATAGTTCAAAATTTAGGGTCTTAAGATTTCTTAAGTTTTTATTTTAGAGATAGCATCATTTAAAATAATATTAATGTTTGTTCAAATCATCGTTTTCTATTAATTCTAATTTGTTCTTATAGGATTGCTCTGATTTTTGTATTTTAGAAAAATCATGTTCATTTGACCAAAAAATTGTTTAGTCAATATTGTTATATTATATTAACCTTTAAAGAAATACAACAATTAATTAATTTCTAAGAAAAATTCTTTTAAATTGACATAATATTAAGAATTCCGCAAATAAAATGCGAAAAATACACTCGAAGTAGAATCGGGGAAGGTCTTTCAGATTTTAAGTATAGATAGGTATATTTTTTTTCTTCCAAGATAGTTAATAAAAATTATTTCTATATGATACATTTCTTATCGTTTCTTTTAATTTTGTGGGACTTTGAAAACTTTATAATATGAAGTATTTTAAGAAATCCCCTCAAATGGCTAATAATTTTCAGACAAGGCTGCTGGCGGGCCAGGTTCGTGTACTGGAAATGGAAAAAACCTTCATTTATCACTGAGTCGATAGCTCCTTTCCACTTCCCCCTCGTCTGTCTGGGCTAGACATTTAATCTGAACTGTTATAACTGTGGTCCTAACGCTCATGTGCCAGTCATTAGAAGCTCATTGAATATTGCGACATCACGCCCATTGTGTATTTTTTTTTCGGCTGCGCCCCGACGAAATCATTAATTGCACGCTCTAGTCCGAGAATCTCTCAGATACAGATACAGATACTGAAACAAATATATCTTGAGGCGGTGTCCACGTAAAAATTCGCTTGCTCTCTCTGGAGACTGCATTCTATCGCTAACTGACCCCCATTTCCCCCGGTATTCCCCGTATTTCCTATAATATTTGTCGCATATTTCGGCATTTGATTTATTGCCTCTCAATTTGCTGCTGCCTTCGTCTTGGGACTTTTTTCTGAAGTCTCCGCTATCGTTTCATGCCTGCTTTTTCTCATAATTTCTCGGTTTTTTTTGGTGGTATTTATTTTATTTTGGTATTTTGATTGAAATTGATTTTATTACTCTTTTTATTAGTTTAACTTGAATTGTGTGCGAGTGGGAATTATGTGGCGAATTTTATGTTTTTATTTTCGCCCTCGGCTCGAGTTTTACTGTCAAACGAACTTGTTAGGTTTTTTTTGTATATCCGAACCGGGCTCTATGGCAAGTGCCATTTGGGATTTCGAAAGCAGTTCGCGGTACTATAAAAAGGGCGCCTGGCAACCATGGGTTAATAGCTGGCTTATCTAATGGCCGTTGCTTGATCGAACATTGATTAGAGCCGTTTGGGTTAATAAATCTTGTGCTGCCCACTGGTTTTCCAGAAATTTTCCCCACTTTTCGCCCGTTGTTAGCCAACTTTTCCCTCAATTAAACACAAATCAACAGGCACTCATGCAAATCATATTATATGCAAAACATTAAATAATTAAAAGTTTTCCAAACCTAAGTACAGTTACCCTTTAGTTTTTGGTTACCAAAATTATAACACTTAACAGCTGGTAATCAACTTTTAAAACGATATTATTCAAAGCTTTTGTTTGCAATTAAAACGAGAAACGTGAATCGCTGTGGAACTTGATGTGGATATTTTGTTGCCACTAATTGTCATTGAAAAAAAGTGAAAGTGAGCAATAGGAGTGTTGGTACGTTGTTGTGTAGTCTAGTGTAGACGCACCATTTGAGAGAGCAAAAACGTTTAATACGAAAAATGGGAAATCCATCAATACCTCTTCGCTGTGATGAGTAATTCCCAAACATTTTTCCAAGCCAGCCTAGGTTGAAATTAACTTTTTTGCCTAATGTTAGTTTTTCTTCGCCATGCTTCGCAGGCCTATGAAATATATTAATTTTTTATTCGACTGCCAGTGCAGCAGCCATGAAATGTGAAACAACTTTATTTCATTGTCAGTGGGTCTCTCACTTCATGGCTCTCTGGAAAACCGGCTCAAAAACGGCTGAAAATATATAAAAAAAAGAGAAAAACAAAAATGATTACGCTTGCAAGCCGAAACTAGAAAATGAAAGTGAAAGTAGGCCAAACTCATCAGCATGCTCGATTCCCCGACTTTGACTCCGACTTGAGCTCATCGGGTCTCTGTGTCTGTAGGCCTATCTAATATCTCCATGTACATGGCGCTGAAAACAATGCAATCACTCCACTCCACAGGCACATCCACATCCACATCCACATTTATATCCACATCACTCCAATCCACTCCGGTAACGGTGGCTTCGATGGTCTCTTGGGGATTTGACTTTGCTTCACTTTCGTTTTCATCGAGCCGGCCTTTGAAGAAAAGTGAAAATAATTCAGTGAAAATCGTTTCTTTCTGCGCCGCAGCGGGAAAGCTAGTTTGGGACTTAAGAGCTGGCTGGTTATGAAATCGGTATGGTGTGGGTATCAATTTTGAGGGGAATTAATGTTAAGTAGACATATAGATCGAAATAGAGAATCTTCAAGACATATTATCAATGTTTTAACTTGTTTAGTTTTATCTTGATTTATAGAACAAAATAGATCCAAAAACCAAGTTAAAAGGTCTTAAGGTCTTTTGTAGACACCAATTATACTAAATATTCTATGTTTTAATCATGATGGGACTTAACAAAAAGTACATTAATTCCCCGTATTTTTGAGGGTATACAAGCATAAATTGTACACGGAATATAAATTTTAATTCTTTACTTTATCACATTGGAAATAATTATTAGACAAAATTAAGATAGATATGAAAGTTTGAGATGCATTGGATTGATTGGTATTAATAGCAAACAAGTTGTATAAGGAAACAGTACTGAGAAGATCTACCTTACTTTAAGCCAACTACAGAGCAAAACCTAAAGAACACTTCAATAAAGTTCTCTCCCACCAAAATTACTGTCTCTTGACCATCAGTAATTGGCTAATTGACCCCCGTAGCTCCCCCATGAACACCCATTAAGCCTATTCTCTATTCCCTTCTAATCCAGCCTCTATACCCCCAAAAAGATCACAACTTTTTTCACAGACCAGTGAGCCCACAAAGTGAATTTGTTACTTTATCCAGTGGCCACAAAATAGGACTAACTATGTACGACAGGAAAATAAATTGAAGAGGGCTTGGGCCAAACAAAGGCAAAGGGGGCGTGGGAACTGGACAAACCATCTATAATTTACTTTTTAAGCGCCTGAAAACATACATTTTTCATTTGGCAACAGCAATTTTCATGGCAACACCAACAACAACAACAACAACAGCAACGATAACGATACCGATAGCCGCCCACACACACTGCCAAGGGAAACGGCAATCGACACTTGGCTACGCCCGACAACAAAAATTGAATTCGATTCCCCCATCATCACATTTAAGCGCTCTCTCGGCGAGAAGAAATTATAAGCCGCTTACATAACAATCAATGTGACTAAGACTACGGGCCCGTTTTACCATATCTGCTGTGCTTCATGGTCAGAGGCGCCCTTTAAAAGGGTATACGATCGTCAAATACCCCCTTAAAAATATACAAATCTTAAATTAAATATTATCCCAGGCTTGTTTCATAGGTTTAAATTGTTTCACTTCTCTTTTTATCGCAGATACATTTTTTATTTATATAATATTATTAATTAAAATGAAAGTTCTTACTGATTTATATGTGTTTACAATAACAATAATAAAGATCTTTAAGTTTAAAAGTTTTGATAATGGACAAACATAAATAATTTTTGAAAAAAAATTTACTTTTAACCTTGAATCTGTAGGATGTTAAACCAAATAAAAAAAATATTTCGTATTTCCACAACATTTTTAGCCTTGTATTATTTTTGTAAAGTTAAAATGAAAATCTTGTAATCGCTTCTAATAAAGATCTTCAAAGTAAACAGTTTTAATAATCAAAAAAAATGCATAATTTAAAAAAAAAAATGTATTTTTTACCTTAAATCTGTAGGATGTTCAACCAAATAAACAAAAAATATTTCGTATTTCCACAACTTTTTTAGCCTTGTGTTATTTTTGTAAAGAATATTAAAAGCAACCTGTTCGATAAGATATGTTGATTCATGAGCGACCTTAAAATTAGTTATAACCCCCCTTGAAAGCCCCTATGTGTAACACTACGCCCCTGTTTCGTAGGCCTCCTCCAGTTAAGTGTGAGAATGTTGCGATGGTTTTTTGCTCGCCCTAATTGCGCTGGGCGTGGCAGGCAAATCAAATTTGTAAACAGATTTCGTTGCCACGGGTTGGGGGTACATGGGGGTACATAAAGACTCTGGGTCGTGTTGTTAAATTTTCCTTAGGTGGATGCAATCAGGCAACTGGCTAGAGGAAAATACCAAACAAAAAACGCAAAAATGCCTAGAAAATGGGAGAGAGCTCGTCTCGTTGACGCCCCATAGGAAACTTTTTTTTATGACTTAAGCTTTGTTGTTGGCCCGATACTTTGTCATTCGCTAGCTGGAATTCTTTGGCCCCATCGCCTCCCCATTTCCCCAAAAACATCCACAAACTGTCCGCTCCATGAAAAGCATTTTGCGCAAAGAGAAAAAATTATCGCATTTTATTTTCATCCTTATCAGACGCATTTTCCCTCTGGCTCACTCTTTTTGTGTGTCGCCTAACCAAAATTTATATGCAGACAGCGCAATATTGCAGTTTGCATTCCTTTCCCTTCATCGGGTATTTCCCCTGCGAGTTAGAAAAATAATTTTCGCTTCTGTTATTACGTACATAGTTCTGTTCTTTGTGCTTGCCTTTCTTCTTGGCAAATTGCTTTCAATTTTCT